GCAGAGGAGTCTGTGGGGCTCGTGGCAGGAGTGCAGGGGTGATGGTATGAGAGTGGCTTTCTCAAGACAGTAAAGCCCACTGCTATCAGACTTACCTTGACATGGCTACCCTGAGTTCTTATTAACCCAGCCTGATGCTATGCGAGCACTCAGGCAACGGCATTTTGCAGGCAACTCAGTCTCATTCCCCATGGAGTTAGTCCTTGACATTCAACTGCCCTCCCTGCTTTACCCACCATCCCCAGGTAAGCTCTCTTCTGCCTCTCTGAAGTCACTTAATGGACAAGAATACAGGAACCAAATTAGGAGAGAATTTCCTGGCACGCACAACCAACTTATTCCCATAATTTAACTATTAGCGCCCTCTGGTGCTAAAATGCTAGATGCAGCCTTCCTGACAAGCAAAGCAGGGAGCTGTTTGTTTTTGAGGACTTTACTTCTCAAATTATTTTGTATGTTACAAACTTAAACAACTTGTTTTAATTTTATTTGAAAGACAAGTAAAACAGTCAGAGATTGATCTTCCATCCTCTGGTTTACTCCCCAAATGCCCACATCAGCCAGAGTTGAGCCAGGTTGCATATCACACCTATAGCCTAGGTGCACCCACATCCCTGTGAGCCTCTGGAGTCCTCCTGCCTGTTAGAGTCGGCAGCACCAAGGCCACAGTCAGGCATCCCTGGCCACCCTCTATGGCTTCTGTCTCCAGGATGCCTCTCATTCACTCCACTGGCTCCACTCGGGGGCGGGGGGGGAGTACGTACTGGGGAGACAGAGCAGCATGGCCAAGGCTCCCATGAAGGGAGAAGCTGACTCAACTCCTGTCCAGCTACTCCTCACATATCTGGGAGCACTCACTATGTGCGGGGCAGGGCTGCATGGTAGACTGAGGCTCAGGCACATGGACTTTCAGCTCCCATTAACACCCCACCATCCTGTGAAAAAGGGTTTCTTGTCTGCAGGTCCATCCTTTACCAAGCTAAAATTAAATCTGGGATTGCAGCGAGGTGAGTCAGTGCACCATCAGTGCTTCCAAAGGACAGTGACAGAGCCCTGACCCAGGAGCTCCATGGAGATTTTGCACGCTAAGGCCATTCGGGCAACGGCTTGCTTTCCTAATAGGTTGTGGTCAGTCATGCTCAGAGACAGAGAACAAATGACTCTAACAGGCAGCTGCATACTTGTGCAATGGAGGCTGGCTGGGGTTGGGTGGGGGGAGCCTGCAGGAACAGGAGGCATACAAAGGTTAGTCTTTAGGCCCCGTGGCCTCTGGTATAGTCAGAAGCGGCTACACAGGATACTAAATCCACCATGAACACCATGGCCTGTCAGCACTGACACTGAACTTCCCCTTCCCACCCACCCCACTCCCCTTTCTAGGTCATTCCCTCCATGAAAGTAGAGCTTGAACTTCTCTCCCCCAAAGTCTTTTCTGACCCTGCTCCCCTAGCCCTGCTGGCTTCTCTTGTGGCTGACTTGCTCATACTCATTTCAGATTTACTTATGATTTAATTTACCATGTTTACCAGCCCAGTAGCATGCAGCTTTGTAGAAGACTGAAACAAAGCACAGGGCCTATCGGAGCTGGAATGCCTCTCAGGTCTGCATTCCACTTCAGAGTTCCAGGTTCAAGTCCCAGCCCTGCGTCAGAGGCCAGCTTCTTGCTGATGCCCACTTGAGAGGCGTGAGAAAAGCTCAAGCACTTGGGTGCCTGTCATTCATGGGAGAGACCCAGAGGGAGTTATTACGTTCGCACCAGTGGCCTGGCCCAGCTCAGCAGCTCTAGGCATTTAAGAAGTGAACTAGCAGATGGGTGCTTTGTCTGTTTTGCTCTTCCTCTCTCTCTGCCTCCCAAATCAATAAACAGACATTTTAGAACAAGATAAGCAGGGTCCAGAGTGCAACTACTTAGTATGACACTACAATGACAGACACACATTCTCTGCCTTTGTCCACAAGTGAACATAGCACATCGGGAGTGTTCTCTTGTGAGGACTCTGCCTGGTTACGGTAATGTGGCAGCAAATGCACCACAGTGGGCTGGGTGACCAGTGGTGGGGCTGTGGGAATGCTCTGCCCCTTCCAATCAACTTGGCTGTGACCCTAACACTGCTCAGAACAGTCAAGTCTCTTCATTGAAGAGCGAGGGGGAGGAAGACGATAGGGATGGCCAGGGGACACTGGCCCAGTCACACATCCGAGGGACAGGAAATGAGAGTCTGTGAATGTGTCCTAGGGATCTTAAATTCAGACCAGCCTTGGCCCTCCAGCCTCCATGAGGCCTGGCTCCCCAGGAGCAGACACCCTGCTCTGCACTCCTTCCACCACCCCGCCCCCATCGTTGCTACAGCAGGTGCACAAGTCTTCCCTGCCCTAACCACTCGGCCCCTGCCTTCCTCCAGGGTCATCCAGGGGCTCAGGGCCCCAGTGGCGATGTCTGGGTGTCTGGGCTGCTTTCTTAAAATATCAATATTTATGAGATGATGGTGTCCTCTCTAAGCTTCCCTAGAAAGATCAATAATTAATATATTTACTAAAAAACCAGACATCACCTCATCAGAGGCCCATCCAGAGCAGGCGCCACACTTCCCAGCAGTAATGCTTGGCTTTCCAAAAACACGTCTCCTGCTTCTGCAAAACACACCCCACATACCTGCTCCAGCTCGCGCTCTCTCTTGTTTTCATCTCTCCCTAAAGCCAAGGAGGACATTCCCTTCTGCCTTCGAGGTGCTGTGCTAGAAGGAATACTCAAAAGGGAGGCTGAGACAGCTATAGTCCCCCATCACGATCAGAGAAGGCTGCTGAGGAGCATCCAGGGGCCCTGGCCATGTCTATCCTTGCTGTCTGCACTTCCTCCCTCCCCCATCCAGGCCATCTTCTGTCCTCCAGGAAAGCTCTGTCCAAGCTTTGCTGCCCTCCCTCTGCCTTTCACACCCCAACTTCTCTCCACTTTCACAAGCACCTCTCATTTCAGCAAATAAGAGAACTCACCTTGCATTGCCCTCAACAGATACAAGATTTAAATGATGATCCTGCCTATTCAGCTCTCCAGATTGCTGTCCCTGACACCGGACACGGGTTTGTACCCATCCCCGGCATTCTGGCCCCCACCCCGCCTTGGAGGATAGGACCAGTGCCTCCTCTGTGACCCTCTTCTCCTCCCTGGGTGGATCATTTCTGCCTTTCTACTGTCTTTTTCCGAATAATCCAAGACGTTCACTCACTTGCTGTTGTCATTCCCATCTGCTGCACCTGTGCTTCTAGCCCACTGTCCCTCTCAGCTCCTGCCTGGACCACCAATGGCCTCCTCACAGAAGTCCAGCCTCAGGTTTCCCATCCCACATTCAGTCACTTCCTGGTATACCACTAGCTTTCTATTTTTAATGCCTCTCTTCCTGTGGCTCCCCAGGTTGCCTTCCCCTGGCACCTTGGTGGGCTGGGAACCTCCCTCTCTCCCACCCCAACTGCACAAAGTGTCACCTTTGACTCTTCTCCCTTTACACTTCAGCCCTCACCTAGGAGGATGACAGCTACTTCACAGCTTTCACCGCCACAGAGGTGTGGATCAGTGCTAAATTGAAATGTGCACTGTAGATCTCTCCCTTCCTTTTTTTTTTTAAATTTATTTATTTTTTTCATTGGAAAGGCGGATATACAGAGAGGAGAGACAGAGAGGAAGATCTTCCGTCCCATGATGCACTCCCCAGGTGAGCGCAACGGGCCGATACTATGCCGATCCGAAGCCAGGAGCCTCTTCCGGGTCTCCCACGCGGGTGCAGGGTCCCAAAGCTTTGGGCCGTCCTCGACTGCTTTCCCAGGCCACAGGCAGGGAGCTGGAAGGGAAGCGGGGCTGCCGGGATAGAACCGGCACCCATATGGGATCCCGGGCGTGCAAGGCGAGGACCTTAACCACTGCGCCACCACGCCGAGCCCTCCCTTCCCTTTTAATAAGCACCCATGGTAGGATGGCTCCAAGTAGGAACCTTCAGTCACTTCCTGGCACCAAGTAGGAGATGCCTGAACCTACAGGCATCTCAAGTTCACACAACCCCCAGCTCCACTCCACCACTTCTGTGTTCAACACATTCCCTCTTATATTCTCCATCTTGGTGAATGGCACTAGCAGATTCCCAGTTTGGTCCAGTCATGGTGCCCAGTAAATCACTTCTCATGTCTAAGCTTTTCTCCTCTGTATTTCCAGCGCAGCTGTTACCTTTCTTCCAGTTGTCATCATTTCCCATTGGAATCTACCCAAAACTCTCCCATGAGTGATTTGTTCACATCTTCAGATTTTTTCTTATACTTTATGATTCTAATCTCCCCATGATGGGGATTTATATGTAACATATTCGGTACAAACAAGCCAGTGTTTCTGAATGATGTCCATGCCGTGCACCATATGAGCAGCTGGACTAGCTTTTAGCCCTGAGCACTTGATTGGGGCCTGAAAATATGTTTCCAGGCTCCTAAATACTGTACTATGCACTTCTCCCTTTGCCCCTCTACCCACACCTTTGTGCTAACAACGCACAGGTGGGGTAGAAGAAACAGAGAGAGGAACCCAAGACTCTAGAGTCAAGGTTCACACCCTACTGGCACAGCTCCTCCTAAGAACATGCTTGGGACCAGGATCACAAGCAGGGCCCCCATTCATTCACATCTACTCAAATGCACTTCAGAACCTCTCTTCCTTTAAACGAGCTCTATGCTTGGTGTAGACTCTGCCTGTCTCCCCAGTGTAACCATTGTTGGGAGGTGGGTTGGCACCCTTTTCCTCCTTTTTCATTTCCTCCTCTCTCCACACAGTCTTGGATCATGCATGCACAGAGCATTCTTAATATGACAGGCAGGAAGGGTCAGTAACAAGGCATGTGCCCAACCCTCTGGGCTCAATCCAGAACTTCCTTTCTAGGCCTTCTGAAAACAAAGAGGTTTTCCAAAGAGAAGCGCAAAGGGGAGAGGATAGAGTGGATCAGGGGAGATCATGGAGGACTACTTACCTTTACATTGCAAGCCTTGCCGCAAGAGGCCCCAGAGCAGGGAGCCACAATGGTCGCAGAAGGTGGGGACCTTGTAGTTGTGGATGCCAAACTTGTGTGGCATGTTGACACTAAACCGCTGGGAGCCCACCTGCAGGGAGGGCAAAACAGAATGTTAGCACCTGGCCTCAGCACTCACAGAAAGCACATGTCAGTGTAGGCCCGGGCCCAAAAGCCAGAGAAGTGCATCTCTCTGTTGTACCCAGCCTCTGCTCCTGATACCCTTACCTCGTGGTCAGCTGCACTTGCTCTTCAGGACTTCAGACCTCTAGTCACACAACTGCCCTACACTTGAGCCACTCCTGAGACATCACCATGAGCTTTGCATACTGCTCACTGGTGTAGGCTCTCAGCTGCTCAACAGCAGACATGGGATTCTGGAAGGCAGCATGTGAACCCAGAACAGTGTGCTGGAAACTGCTCTCAGAATAATCATTAGGATGCAGCTGGCTGATGAAGGAGCATGGCTGCTGAGCATGCCAGGGGCCTAGTGCCAACCACGTGTCCCAACAAGACCTCACCAGCACCACCCTATGGGACCACTGTGAGCCCAAGTTCACAGGTATGGCAATGAAGGCACAGGAGATGAAGAAAACATGCTTCTACATAGACAAAAGTCAAAGCCAGGTTTGCAACCCTCTGACTCTGTATTCAGAACTCAGTTTTCAAGGCAATGTGGTGCCTTGTGCTGAGTAAGTCAAAGTAAGGAAGAGAAAGGGACAAAGACAGAATAGAAGTGTGACCAGGAACCCCTGTGTGTGGACCTGGGGCTGCCACAAATCTCCCGTGAGGTCCCAGGCTGTTTTCCTCCTGTGTACCCCGGTTTCTCATCTGACAAATGAAGACATCAGTCCTGTACTCTTCAATCACAGGGTCCTGGGGCCACCGAACTAACAAGGAAGAGGTGGGCATCAAGAAGGATTTCACTGGACAATCGGGCATCAGGGCTATTTCCCACCTAGGTTTCTATTGGAGCAGGTGTATGACCCAGGTCTCTCTCCAAAAGGGCCACTCCTGGGGACAGCTGCTCACAGGAACTGGGGAAGAAGTTGCTCTTGCTCCTCTGGGAACAGAAGAAGAGAGCTCACAGCTCACCGGCTGATTAGTGAGTGAAAGGCTCTGGTGGTAAGCCAAGGAAAGGAGAGAGAGCAGCTGACAAGGATTCAGACACAGACACAAAGGCAGGCCCACACTCCTGCACTTGCATCTACGTGGTTTCATAAACTCTCCACTCCCCTCCAAGGAATGCCTAGGCCTTCCACAGGATTTGACTGATCCCTGCCTGAAACACATGGCTATCAATTAGAGTGCTGGAGATGAAACTCTCAGATGTAGTGAAAAGTATCGCCTCCAGCCCTACTGAGATTCATAACTTAAAATGTCTATCTGCAAATGGGCACACCTAATTCTACAGGTGCCTTTTGCATACCTAAGGACATAGGAGATCACTGCACCCACTGTATTTGTACAAATCAAGAGGCCATGTTACACTAATACTGAGGACCCAGTTGGGATCTCCCTAGAACAGTCCTAGAAGGATATGAATAACAAACTTTGCTGAAAAGGTGGGGATCTGCCCCAATATGGCTAGGACATTCCATGTGGGTGTGGAAAGTACTGCATGACTTAGGATAACTAGGACTCTGAAGCATCAAAGAACAGCAGGGAAAGAGGAAGGAACACACACGAGAACATGCCACGGCATCAGAGTGAGAAGCAAACATGGAGAGCACACACAAGTGGGTAGAATGTGTGTGCATGCTAGTATAGATGCTCCTACTATAGACAGAAACAAGGAAATGAGTGCAACTCAGAGAGAACATGGGGAGGAAGAAAAGGGCAGAGGATAGAACAGTAAGATTCAAGAAGAGAAGAGAGGGAGCAAGGTGACAGAAAGAGACATGGAGCCTTCCTTGCTTACCCCTCTCCCCCAGAAGTTCAGGGAGGGAAGAGTGTGAGTCCTAAGTGCCAACACACACACACACACACACACACACACACACACACACACACACACACACACACACACACACACACACCTAACACACAGCAATCACACTGGCCAAGAACTTGTAGTACAAAAGATTCAAGGAGCTCACGGGCAGAGTACCCAGTAGTGAGAGAGAGGGCTTATAGAAGGGTGGTGGTGTTTGAAGCTATGTGTGCTTGCAGCATGTATGTATGTAGATGTGTGCATGTGTGCACCTGCTTCACACCTGCAGATGGGCCCACAAAGTCACCAACTCAAAGGGTGGTTTCTACTTGCTGGCTGTGACCATCAGGCTGAGCACTCATCTCCATCAAACTAGAAAGTCTCAACTCCCCTCTTCATAAGTCCCTGCTGGTTTGTTCCTTGGCACACATGCCACATTTGGGAACACTCCTCCTTGCAAATTTCCATTGCTCAGTAGGGCAGGACAGTCAGAAGAGGTAACAGATTAGAGCTGGGGGCTGCACAGTCATAGCTCAGCCCTCCAGTCTGCATGGTAGGGTCTTTTCCAGAACTGTTCCCTCTGAGGAAGGACCAGAAGCTTTCACAAAACCTGTAGAGCCAGGCCTGCAGGCAGCAAGGCATCATCTGTGTTGCCATTCTCTTCAGTTTCCATGGGCACAAGGTCTGTCCTACATGAAGTGCCAAAGGCCAGGAAGGGAGGAGAGGAATGTGGGGTGGGAGGGAGGGAGCGATGCAAGAAAGACCATAGGCCAGTTATCATTTTCTCTTTACTTGTGGAAGTAACGATACTGGGCTGGGAGCTTGGACCTGGAGTCAGGAAATCCAGGCACCAGCTTGAAACTGTCCACACAAGAGAATATCTACAGAAAACCGTGTTGCTCTGGGCTCAGTCTATCCTTCAGGGACATGGGAGGCATGGAAGGCTCAACCTAAGCCTGCCTCTTCCTGCGTCCTGGAGACAGTATGAGAACAAAGGGTGATAACACATGGGAGATGCCTCAGACACCATGGTATTTGGCTGAAGTATTTTTAAGTAGATAAAAGGTCTCTATGAATCATTCACTTCGGAAGCCTGAGTGTAAATCCACCCAGAAGACTGTTCTCCAACCCTCCATTTCAACTGGGCAGGATTACATTGTGTTCATTCTCCTCGCATTAAAATTATGCCTCTAAATCCAGCATTCTGAACACAGGTAACACCTCTTTAACACCTTTCACCTGCCTTGAAAAGAGAATTTCGCCTTTCAGGGATGCTAGTGTTCTTTCGATCACTCAGTTTGGAGAAACCTGGCCTTGCTGTTGTAGTTTCTTGCTTCCTTACCCCTGACCACTTCTCTAAAAGCCATCTGATACTGGTCTCTAAGACCAAGGACAATGTAATACAGCGGTTACAGGCTCAGAATCTAAAACAGATACATGAGGACACCCACATACTGGCTGTATGACTGGGGCACAGTCATTTGACCTCTCCATGCTTCCGATCTCTGCATTATGGAATGACAATATTGACCTCTTCCTCACAAAGGCCATGGAATTAGAGAGCTTCATGAAAGTGATTGGTGATTTCCAACTCCAAAGCAGTCCTTGGGTTAATTCTTATCATTCCACCACCCCACCTTTCCTGTTTGCATGTTTTGTATCTTTCTGTTTATTACCCCTATGGAGTCACTGACACTGATGTGATCAGATGAGATAATGAAATAAAAGAATTCACAGTTTCCTTCTAGGCTTTTGTCCCAGGGCCATCTAGCTCTGTGAATGTTAGACATCACATCACAGGTGTAGATCTCACTGGGGACCATGCTCATTCCTGGAAATTGTGCTTCATTCAAGGTGCATACCCTTCATTTACAACCAACCCAATGTCCAAAGCAACAGGATCTCAGAGAGATCAGGTTCTCCCAGGTGCCACAGAGAAAGAGGAAGTATTTACCTCGTCTGGAGTTTCCTGTTTCTTCAGCCCAGCGCATTTTGTAATGATGAGCTCGTGGCATCGTTTGTGGACAACACAGGTGCACACTGCAAAGAGAGATAACAGAAAGGCTGAGGGACAGGTGAGGGAAGAAAACTTTTCAGCCCAACATGGAATAAGGTCTCAGTTGGAGATACAACAGGAGCTAGGCTTCTCTGTCAGTCCCTGAAGCCCTCCCGGCTGTTATTTGAAAAGGCATTGCCTCCAGAACACTGCAGAAGAGTGAAGTCCTTCTACCCAAAGGTACTGGGAGGGCTCTCTAGTGTTGCTTACTGATCAATCTATTTGCTTTGATATGTCAAGGTCAGAAACAACTTCCTTGTCAGCCCTCCCACAGAGCATTGCCATTGTCTCCTATTGCACTCAGCAGCATAATGCCAAGGTAGCTGATATGAAAGGAGGAGCTGTAGCAGGTGGCACAAAAGTTCCTGGACTTAAAAATCTTTCACACCACACTTGAGAATTCCCATTGAATTTAATACAAGAGTCCTTCAAAAAGTTTGTGGACTATGCATACGATTTCAATTTTTTTACAATAAACTTGCATTTTAATTTGTATTATTTGAAAGTTAATGAGAGAGAGAGAGAGAGAGAGAGAGAATATCTCCCACATTCTGGTTCATTCCCCAAATGCCCACAAGACTGAAGCCAGAAACTTGGAACTGATCTGGGTCTGCCACTTGGGTGGCAAGGACCCAGTCCTGAGCCATCACCTGCTGCCTCCAGAGGAATATTAGGAATCCTGTGAAATGTACTCTGTTGGGAAATGCATGAATTCCAAGTGATGACTTAACTTTCGTGCCAAATGCCAAACACTAAAACTAATCTCTTATTGTATTCTGCCATGAGCTTTTGGAAGTACCTGTGTATGTCCAAGGAAGTGGCATACAGCCATCTGTAGTATCATGGGGCAACATGGGCAACAGGTGGCAGTGGAGATAACTGTGCACACAGGCACAGCATCCTCCAACGGTGTCTCCCCAGGTTCTCCAAGGCTGAGCCCCATGTCAAACTGTTCTGTGAGGAGCTAGGCAGCCTCCCTGCTCTAACCACAGAGAAACTTCAACATTAATGCATTGCATTCGCACCCTCTGATTTGTGTACAGCTTAACCTTGCATTTAGAAGCCATTAATTGGAGGTAAAAATCATCTTCAAGGCCTTCAAGTGAGTTTTAAAGTTTTAAGAGCTAATAATTCCAGAGGAGATAAAAAGAGAGAAAACTGGCAAGGGTCCTTCAGTGCTATTCACTAACCAAGTAGGTGAAGGAGTAGGAGAGTAAGTAAAGTGAAGGAACAGGCAGCCCTGGTCCACCACATTGCAGCAGGGCTTCTAAAGAGCTCCTCAATGATGTGTTCTGTGTCACTATCAAAGATGCAAGAGCTACATGCTCCAAGTGTCATGAAAAAACGGGGGCAGGAGAAGGGGGCTGAAGGCTTCTGTGACTACTGGAATATAGTTGGTACCTACAAGGCACTGTAATATGAGTATGTGGAATGATGGCTGAGGCAGGGGTGCAAAGAAAGCAGCACTTGTGGGAGAGGAAGGATAAGCCTACAAATGGACAGAGCCTTTCAATTGTCATCAGACCCAGCACAGCCTCCTTTGAGCATCAGTGATCTGGACCTCGCCATGGGCCTTCAAAACTTTTGTTCACAACATTCCTCTTACCTTGACATTGGTACCCCTGCTTTCCTATGACACCCCTGAAAGGAAGAACACAACCTTTTAAGAAAGCGAAATTCTACCAAGTCAAAGTGGCTAGCATACAAACCCACCCACCGCACTGTGCACCACCACACTGCATCAAGGCCCAAGGACTGCACTGCTCAGCACAGTCACAGGTCTGCTTGATGTTGGGACTTGTTGTCCTGTACCAATAGCCATTTCAGCAATGATCTTGATAGCTGCCAAATGGCTCTGCTGGCTTTGATCATATCCATCCTCACGGATAAGAAAGGTATTTCTCATTTCCTAGCACCATGCTCCACAGGTTCTCTGACTGTGGAGGAGGGATGTAGCTGGTAGGTGTTTCTCTCGGCACTCCCAAGACCACCAAGGTTTGGGGGCCAGTCTGTGGCCAGCACTGGGGGCTCAATCTACAGTTTAGATGAAAGTCAGTATTAGAAGTTAATGACTATGGGAGAGACCCTAGGGCAAGCTTGAAAGTCAGCATGGACACAGATCAAAGCACAATGGCCTTATCCCAGCCACAGTGTGCCAACAAGTGGGCTGGAACCCAGTGACAGGATCCAAAAGTCTTCCAGGACCACATCCTAGCAAACCTAGCAAATCTTCATTGGATTAGTGAAAATGTGGGATCCAAACTTAGATAATGGGCATGAGATGACTGGGTCAGACGTGGGAAGGAGAAGCAACTATGGCTGGGAATGGAGCATTAGCTTCTGCTACTGTATGGCTGCTCTGCTCAGAGCTGTGTCCTCAGATGTCCATGCCAAGCTATGTCACAACACCAGAGGACAGGGATTCCTGGACACCACGGGAAGCCAGGGTTCTCTCAGAGCCCAATTCACACATTCCCCAGCTAGGTTCACACTGAAACTCAGCATCACTTCCTCCTCCTCACTGCATCCAAAGAGATCAACTTGCCAGCAAGACTAATGGGATGTTAGGAAAAGCATCAAAATCAGGCCAGCCCAGGGTGGACAAATGCCTTTCACACTCCCTAGCTAGAGGACATCATACAGGCTTTTGGTCATTTCTAAGCCTTGGTACTCCCAGGAGAATGACATTAATACTGCATAGCACATAGGATGCCCAGAAGATTCCACTTGACATTTCCAGTGCCTAAGAAAGACACTGGCCTGTGAAGGATATTTATTAAGTTTTCCAATGCCAGCGTTAGTGTCCTGTATCCACCCCTATAGCCCAAAAGTTCTGTTACCCATTCCTCTACATCAAAATTCCATTCATCAAGAAATTAAAAATGCTACTTCCCCCAGGAAGCCTTCCCTGTCCATTCCAGCTGGCATTGCTCTCTCAAGCACTGAAGACTCAGCATCCTAGCAGCATCCTTATTGGACCAGTTTCTTAAAAAATGCTTTGTGCTACAGATATTGGCAATCAAGTGTGGTTTAGCTTCACTGAAGACAATGCAAATCCATGTAAAGTAAAGGGATAACCACCATGCACCCTCACACAACCATCAGCAAATTTTTTAATTACTAACTGTAGCCCTTTCTCCCCCTCTTTCCAGCATGAGCTTTAAACAAATCCTAGACATAACTGTACTTCCTTTCTAAACAATGTATCTTGTCTTGAGGAAAGGTAATGACTCCTTTTAAATACAGTATCATTCTTGGTTGTAAAGTCTTAACTCCTCAATAGAGTCTGACCCTGGGTCCTAAGCACTGAGAACCATGGTTAACTGTTTCCATTCACTTTTCCCATGCACCATAGACCCAGGTAGCAGCCCTCCAGAGATATCTTCTACAGCCAGCTAAAGAATTAAGGGTGCACATCAGTGATTTTTACCTTTCACTATAAACCATGGAATTTACTTTTATTTGAAACTAATTTCATTGGAAGTTGAGCATTTCAGGAACTCTACTGCAAGCTGTTTACTTCATGGAAATGCTTCCAATATCAGATGGGTAAAGATGTGATGCCCACTCCGCAAGGTGGCAACACTCAGAGAAGGTAAGATTCTTTTCTCATTGAGGTTAACCTCTCAAGCTTCCAAATTAGAGTTCTAAAAAGATTCCAAAATTACACAAAAGGGTCTTCCCTCCAAAGCCTGATAATGTAAGCATGCTTTGACAGATATCTCTTCTTTGTTTCAAATGAAAATGCAATGGCTTTTGACTGGAAGAAAACAGACAGTCCCACCAGGCATCAAGTTTTAGGATCAAGATTATATTTGTTAACATTCTTTAAATTAAATTTCTAGTCCTCCCCTATTTCAGAAAAGTGTTCAGAACTAGAGGTTCCCAGGACAAAGACTTACCAGATGAAATCCCTGCAGTGGGAGCAGTAGGTGGGCTGCCGAAGGTATGTGGCCATGAACTTGTGACCGTTGACCTGGTGGACCCTGCGACGGACAGCTCCCTGCCGCTTCCTCGGCCGCATGCGCTCCCGGAACACACGCTCTTCATTGTCTTTGGGTGCTGGGAAAAGATTAGAGCAGAAAAGGAAATGGAGTCTGGGTTAGTGTGTTTCAGCTACGATCTCCAGCCACCCACTGCCCCCGGGGTAGAAATGGGGCTGGGTGGAAGGCACCTTTGCCACCAGAGGGACTTGGGGGTCTCATTGCTCAGCTGCTGTGAGCAAGCCTACTGGAGGTGTGGAGACCCTGGATACACATTTTTCCCACCACATCCCACGTGTAATTTCATCCCAGAGCAAATTTATCTGCCAGAGGGCGTCTCCCTCCTCCCCACACCACTACAGAAATATGTTGGTCATCATGCAGGTCTGTAAGTATAAGTGATTTTTACTTCATCTATATTTAGAATGTTCTGTTTTCATGAGCAGAAAAAAATGGGGACAAAAAATCAAATGTCATCAGGAGCTCCTTCTAGTCACAAATGTGGTCCATAGAAGTCCAATTCAGAGACCCAAGTCCTGGGCAATGCAGGTTAGGCAGGGGTGGGAGAATTATTTTTGCAAAATGTACCTCTCTTGGCTTTTTCACAACAGAATTCAGGCCAGAACACATTTAAGCAGTTACGTCACCCCCTAATGCATTTATAATGTAATTTGATTTGTAAATTAGCTAGTCTCTAAAACTGATTGTAATGATGGTTATACAACTACGTGATTACACTAAAAACTATTGAAGCATATCCTTTAAATGAGTAAAATAAGTGACTTGTATGATACATGAATCATATCTCAGAAAAGCTGTTATAAAAAATTAGCTAGTCATTTGCATCCTGGAAAATTCCATTTTCGGAAAAAATGGTGATAAGAGCAATTGAATTTTCACAAATGGAACACCGCTGAGATTGTGGATGGAGTCCCCTCTGAGTACTGCATTTCTTGGCTCCTTACGGAAACAGCCAGCAGCTATACCAAACGTTCTAGACTATGTAGACACTGACAGGACCAGGTGGTGGCCAGGCATTCCAACCCATGCCCATTTAGATTTAGTGCCCTTTTAGTAGTGTGATTGACACCTGGGTCAAAGCTGTTGAAATTGAGGGTGGAGGTGGTTCTGTTCCTTTGGTATAGGTGGGCAAGGATGCCAAGGCTGGCTCCTGGAAGTCAGTGTCTGTCTGGGCTGAGCTGCCTCAAAGTTTGCATTTCTCCTTCCCTGCTACACATAGGTACTGGCTTTTGAGCTAGGTTTTAAGTCGACAACCCGCGGGAACAGAAGGAGCAGGCCCTGACCCCAGGTCAACTCTGTTTCAGATGAGATCTCTGCGAAGCTATGGAGCTGGTGACAGATGTGGGGTTGGAACCCATGGTAGGTGAAAACATCTACAGTTCACAGACTCTGGACTGGTCAAGGATCGGATTGGAGCATCCCAGGCAGAGAAGAAAGTGGCCTATATGATGTGAAGAGCGTCCCCATGATGCTACAGCCGCCCTCTCCCCAGGGCCTCCATGCCTGGAGTCTACTACCAGAAATGGATCTCTCGGCATTCCCACTGGTGTCCAGGGTTAGTCCCCACTTCACACACATGCATTCAGCTGTACCACTAGGTTCCATCTTCTGTTTTGCTGCCCATCTGTCTGCTTTTATGCCAGCATCACACGGTTTGGTGACTGACGCTTTGCATTATATTTTGGCATTAGGAAGTTTGATCTCTCCAGGTTTATTCTCCAAGTTGCTTCAGCTTTTCAAGTTTTTTTTTTTTTAACTGAGGGGGGGTTGGGGAGGAAAGAGGGGCAATTGAATGCTAGGATGACTTTTTATGCTTCCACAGAAAACACCTGTGGACTTTTGATAGGAATTACATTGCATTTGCAAATCACTTGGACAAGTGTGGACATTTGAACAATATGTGTTCTTCCTTACCACGAAAAGCAAACTAATGCCAAAAATACACAATAAGAAGACACTTTCTTCAGCATATAGTGCTGGCAAAACTGTATACTTCCATGCCAAATGATCGAATCAGGTGCCCATCTTACATCCCAACTCAAAATGGAAGATGTGAAATCACAAACCTCCTAGGGGAAAAGGGAGAAACTTGACATTGGTCTTGGCAATGATTTTTGGATATGTAATAAAAGGACAGGCCAGAAAATAGACAAGAGGGACAGCATCCAACTAAAATGCTGCACACAGAAAAGGACAAAAATGAAAGGGTAACCTACACAATGTAAGAAAAAAGTTTGTAAGCCATATATATGATAGTTGATATCCAAAATATAAAAAGAATGTCAAAAAATGCAATAGCCGGGTGTGCTAACCTAGCAGCTAAAGTCCTCTCCTTGGATGTGCCAGGATCCCATATGAGCACAGGTTCTAATCCCAGCAGCCCTACTTCTCATCTAGCTCCCTGCTTGTTCCCTGACAAAGAAGTCAAAGACGGCCCAAAGCCTTGGGACCCTGTATCTGCAAGAGAAACCTAGAAGAAGCTCCTGGCTCCTGGCTTCACATTGGCTCAGCCTCGGCCATTGCAGCCATTTGGGGAGTGAATCAATGGATGGAAGATCTTCCTTTCTGCCTCTCCTCCTCTCTGTATATCTAACTTTCTAATAAAAATAAATAAATCTTTTTAAAAAATCACGATCTTTGCTTTGATACCCAAGAGACAGTGTTAGCTAAAACAAACAAACAAACAAAAAAAATTGTGTGATTTGCTATTGGCATTGCTATGAAACTGATTTATTCACTCACTGTTGGAGGTTATGTCAATTTATCTATGATTTTCAGAAATCAGTAGTAGAAAACATAGCAAAGAAAAAAAAAAGAAAACATAGCAAACAGATTCACACTCTAATCTTCCAATTCCTTAGGAATTAACCCAAGGTTAGTGATCAAACAAACTCACAGCTAGGCACTTATAAATATTCCTTAACGCATATGTATATCAACCAACTAGCAGAAATAAGTAGAAAAAGCATTAGGAGAATGGGGTCTTCCATTCACCACTAACATTACATGTATAGTAATTTAAAAGTGATAAGGAGGAGGTGTTAAGATATCACTTAGGGTGCCTGCATCCCATAGCAGAGTGCCTGGATAGAGTCCTGGCTCTGCTTTGATTTCAGCTTCCTGCAAAGTAGTAAGTGATGGCTTGGGTAGCTGAGTTCCTGCCAGCCACATGGGAGACACAGATGGGCTTCTGGGCTTCAGGCTTCTGTCTGGCCTATCCTGAGGTCCTGTAGACATTTGGAAAGTAAATCAGTGGATGGCAGATCTCTCTCTCTCTCTCTCTCACTCTCTCTTTCTCTCTCTTAAATAAATATAAATATATCAATTTACAAAATTTAAAGTGATGAGGAAAGGTCAGAGAAACCTATGGAAATGTGCTCTAATACCATGAACAACAAAATGCACAACAGCATACATACATCTCTATGTAAGTTACCTGCAGGTGGAAAGTAACATTAAAAAATTACGCTACAATATAATGATAGGATGATACATATTGATATTTGAAAAAAAAATGTTCTCCAAGGTTCTTCAGTGACCAGGTTTTTTCACTGTGTGGAAACTACATTAGGGAATGGGCAGCTCTCACATGCTGCAAGAGTTGGAGGATACCTGGCAGGAAGAGGAGAGTGTCCTGGAGGTTGCCATGGAGATCAGGTGAAATGGACAAACTTCAGCTCTGACCTGAGTGAAGGCTGGCCCACTGCACAGCCCCCATCCACCAAACCTTTGACGAACTCTGAAGGCTGCTCACTGCTGTCACTGGTGTACTCAGCCACGCTTGGCTGGTAGGGTTTCATTGGCCACAGCCATGGAGGCAAAACCAACATTGGCTGCTCTCCCAGAGGACCATCTGGCTCCGGCAGATCCCTTATTTCATGGCTGCACCTGCCACACAGCAGGAGGGATGGGGAAGTCAGAGAAAGACCAACCAAGAGCCAGATCACTTTTTGGAAATTCTCTGTGGAAATGTTGATCATGACAGTGAGACAATGGCCAGAATTCACACAGGCTCAAGCAGGGAGACCCTCCAAAACTGCTCCAAGGTCCACAGGAGCCTTCACCATCAACAACACTACAGACATGATTCCTAGCTGGGTCCATGAACCTAATAAATCTCACACTCCTAGGAACTCATATCAATGAACCCATATTTAAGATTTTATTTATTTACTTATATGAAAGGTAGAGAAGGGGGATCACCACTAGTCATTGGATTCATTCTCAAGAAGCCTGTAACATCTGTGGCTGTAGTGGACTGAAGGCAAAAGCCAGAAACTCAATCTGGGTCTCCCATGTTTGTGGCAGGGACTTAAATACTTGCATTATCATGACTTGCTGCTTTTCAGGGTGTGCTCTAACAGAAAGTGGGCTTAGACTAAGAGCCCTGACTACAATCCAGACACTCCACTATGGGACACAGTCCTCCCAAGGAGCATCTTTTAACCACTATGTCAAATGCTCACATCAATGAATATTTCACAGTCCCAGTGTGCAGAATTCATGACAGGCTGCAGGCAGGTGCAGGAACAGTTTCTCTACTCTCACCAGCTCCCTACCCTTTGGGATTGAGACTTGTCAGTGTAGATTAGAAGAATATACAAAGATTCAGGAAGAGGCAGTCCTGGCCCTCGGGCCTATGCCACTCTTCTGGCCAATCTTGCCATTGAGGGTTTGCTACTCAACTGCCAATGCCTCTACCAGCCACATCTCCTACACAAAAGTTGAGCTGACAGATGGACCATCAGAACTGATGACCAGCCCACACACAAGGTAATGGGCAACCTGAACTTCACCATTCTCAGGATGCCTTTGGTTGAATCACATCTAGGCAGGAATTTCTCATAGTCCCAGACCTATGGACTGCTATAGGCTAGTATCTTCTGGAATAGCTGTAACAGTAACTATTAAACTCAACAGTCGTGTCTGCCTGCACTACACTCACCAGTGGTAGGCATGTGCAGCCAGCTTAGGCACACTGTCCTTCCTGACCACCAACGCTGCATGCATCCACCAAAGTTGCAGCCTCAGTCATCTGATTCTGATTTCCAGAAGCTT